TGCAAAATTCACTAAGACAGTTCCCAAAATGCCAAACAGTATTCATGTGATGCCACTTCTAATATTGATCAGATAGATTACTACTTTTTCTAATGCTATGAAACAAGTTATTGTTGTATATCTTTTTTATGCAGACCTTTTAATAGAATATTTATGCTACTAATTTGTTAGTTTTAAATGAGAGCAAATTTATAATTGTTCAAGATTCTAACTTCATAATTCATCAATATATGATTAGATAAGAATCCTTATTTCAGTTATTTCAATTGACCCCTTTATATTTAGAAAATCACTGGTTCAAATTAATCCAAATTATTTGCTTGGGTCTTCTGCCCTTGTCCAGTTTAAAATATGGTCATTACTACTTGCTGACTAAAAGTGAGGCAGCCGTAACCACATGGCAGAATAACTCCAAGACTGTATTAGCTACACACAGTCCAGCACCCTCCATGAAACTTCCTTTGAGAAAAGATAAATCAGTGCTATTAGCAAAATGTTTCTTGCATCACACATGTTCAGAAGGACACCATTTTCCCCCTTACCTGTAATTGATCTACCTGGAATTTCCTTCTAGCATAAGCATTCAGATGATCTGAAAGTACGGACAGGAAGCACTTGATATCTTTCTGCAAATGCTCATGAGCTATTTGCTCCAGTGGTATGAAAACTGGGATTGAATGGTGTTGAATCCGGAGTGGCTGCTGTAGAAGGATGTCTAAATAATAGGAATCTAGGTAAGTTCCTTCAAAGGCAGTGCTGATGCAAAAGGAGACTCCTTGCTCTGTCAATTTTCCACTTAGGCCTAGAAAGAATGATCAGAATTTCAAAGCTGGGTTGATAAGCTAATATTGTCTACTGCTAAATAAAATGTAAATCCCCACTCAAGTTCAGCATGACTCCTGGTGTCTACATAAACAGTTTTCTTAACAATGTTGTACAAGTGGCTTGCCACTTTGTTCTTCAGAATGATTTTCAACTTCCCAGTCTAGTCAGGCCACTGACTAGCCTAAGAACAGAATCTTATCAACATGTGACAAAAGTACCTGTCAGACGAAAAAGTTCTAGCAGACCCTTGGCATTCTCTATCTTCCGCTCTAAGATGGCCTGTTGGCTTTTCGCTGTAGCCTTAGAAACTGGCAAACTGTTTTTCATAGCATCTTTGCCTGGAGTGGACTACAAAAGAACAGGAGAGTTACAGCTCAATGATTACAGCTTGTTAAATCTATATTGCCCAGAAACACCCATTACTTCTAGTAAAAGGAAGTTTTAAGGAAAATGTGTTCAGAACCATGTTCCTTCCAATATTTGACAGGCTGTGTGACAGTAAAAAAATGTTCTGTACAACTTTTCCTAAGCCAAGTACAAATTCATACACTACATGACAATTATACAAGTAAATTAATTGTAATTCATTGCTCAAAAGGATAACACATGTTTTCCTTGTCTAAAAAAAGAGAGTTGCAGTGTAATTTCCATTTTATTTGATTAATGTAACCAATGGACAACTTTTTGTCCAATTATCTGATTTCCCAGGATTTATCATAAGGTACATTTTTAATTATAATTACAAGGAGATATCCACCAATGGCAACAAATGTATTATGCATTAATGGGCAATGAATTTAGAGAATATAGCACAAAGCCTACACATTATTACACACTGATTCAGTTACTAGCTACCCCAATTTCCCCCTAGTGTGCCACACAACCCAGACCACATGGCTTATTTATACTGTAGTTCAATGTACTATGAAAAATGAGAAATATAGTTAATTAAGCAAAATACAATTACTGATAAATAAGGATACCACATTAACACAATATAAGAATTTCAAGTCAGAAACAGAAATCACAATGCCTCAAGAAATAAGGCATTTATAGAAACAATACCTACACCCACCTCTTTTACAGAATTGGATTAATATAACTGAATTATCAAATATTCTCCTTTATTGGAACTGAATTATCAGACTAGAAATGTTTAGAAAATTGTTTAATATGTGCTCATTTTCCTTGGAGCTTTATATCATTTAAAAGCTGTTTTGACTTCTGTTAAAGTTCAAGTTATATAATTTTATCCTTTTAGGCAAAACTTTGCTTAGTAATTCAGCTTCATGATTTATATTCTGCCAGCCCTTAAACAAGAATCCAGCCTATGCTGTCTTTATGTCAACATATACTCACACTCACCTGTGATTGACAAACATTTAGTTTGGTTTTCAACTCATCTCTTTGGTTTCTCAGCTCCTGGATCTTCATTTTCATCTTCAATATCTTCTCCTCATGTTCCCTTATTTTCTCTTGTTTCAGTGCTACATTGTGGGCAGAAGCCTCCAACCTTTCCAAATGAGATAATGTACCTGCAAAGAATATGTGCAGGCAAAGAAAACAAACAAAACTTTAATATAAGAATCATACCCAATCATCTTCACAAACAGAAATAAAGTGGCCTAGAGTCATTAATTGAAATGGATGCTATAGAAACTGAACAAATAAACACATACACTTGTAGTCAGAAATCTACTATTTTCAATTAATTCAAGAAATTACTTCTTGAAAATTTTCTAGATTCAAGTGTGTGTTATTTGTGTGCAGGAGTTGCTAATTATCTGAGAACTACAAGATAATCAGCCAAACCATAAAGAATACAATGGAGAGAGTTTTGAACATTGTCAATATAGTGATCTGAAATGCAAAATCTGTTCCAAGACATATTCTTACAATAACCACTTTACTCTTCACAACACTCAATCTAGTGTGCAATAATGAATACACTTGCAAGAGGAAAACCTTGGGTCAAATACCTAAATTTAGGAGAAATCTTCCATATATATATTCTTATTTGCTGATTATAAACAGAGGCTCCAAGACATCTCCCCAGGAGGGACTTTTAGTAAGATTAAAGGCACCATTCCATACATTGGCTTCAAGCCTACAATAAGCCTAAGAATGGTTCACAGAAGAAAAGTTTCCTATCTTTTCATCTTCCTGCTATTGGCTTCAGAATAATGTAACAGCAAAGTTTGAAGGGACCTTGGAGATCTTCTAGTCCAACCCCCTGCTCGGACAGAAGCCCTATATCATTCCAGACAAATATTCAAATGTTCTCTAGAAAGCTTGGGGAACAGAACATGCTTCTGAAGGAGAGAACCATGGCAAATCAAAACTTGATTCGTAAGCTAACTACAGAACTACTTTTCTTTATACCACCATCCTATACAATATACACTATTATGCCTTCAGCTTAATTCCATTATATAAGAGGAGTGACCCTGCTGAATAAGCTTTCCAGTCACTGTAAGAGGAAAATAGGATATATAACTTTCATGAGTTTCCTTAACAATTTAATTTAGGTTCTAGGCCATCCAATATTAGGAATAGAAAGTATTATGACAATCTTCAATGGTACTTCACTCCATAAAGGGCTTTTTCTGTAATGATGCTCACATGTGATTTCTTGCTAAAAATATTAACATGGTAGTCTTCTTGTGATCTCTCAGGTGACAGGCAAAATTATCTTCTTCTCATGAAGATTTTATAAAATTTATTTAACTGCCTTTATGGAATTGATTCACTGTATCAAGTATATTACATGTAATTACGTATATATTTATAATTATATATAATTTAAATATATTTAAATTTTCTGAAAACTTCTAAAGTAGTGCACAAGTCAAAGCAGTAAGTGGATGAATATTTTATAAATGAAAATATCTTTTATAAAGTACATTAAAAATATTGAACTTATTTGTTTCTTGTATTGATGTTTGTATGTAAACATGCTTTTTATGTCTGTTTGGGATTTAAAGCAAGTTATAATTCTAGATGTTAGACAGGCAGTGTATTAATTTAAGACATAATTATAATTAGACAATTGCCCAAATCTTCAGAATTTCTTCAGCTAATCAGAGTAAAGAATCAGCTACATTGGCTTTTTAATTGTTCAGTATAAATTACCAGACTACAGCATTAGTTCGATCTTCCATTCTGATAAGCAGCACTTTATAGAAAAGCCAGTGAATACTGTAAGGGTGTCTATCTCACTTCCTTTAAACATTTTTAACTAGAACAGAGTACTTGCCTGTTAACTTACCATTTGAAAAGGAAATGGCAATTTTGTCCATTTTTTACTTTCAATTCCTTTTTAAAAAAGCCAAAATAATAATCCCACAAGATTTTCTTCTCTGGTTCTAGAAGGGGGACAACTTCCCCAGGTTCCTGCAGAATTTTAACAGAAAGAATGGCTTAATGAATTTCAATGATGAAACGTTAAATTCTGGAAGAAAATTAATCATTTTCAGAAAAAAACAAACCCATGATTTAAACAGCTAGGTTGCTTTACATGATTTACTACCTAACTCAGTCGGTGCCTAGTCTTTTTTTAAACATCAACACCAGTATAACCATATCGGTCCATTTCCCCATTGCCACCCTAATGCACTGCATTATAATCCCCACCACCCTTAGCCAGAAGAATTAATTGTTGAAAATAACCGGCATTACAGTTCAATTCAGAAATCAACACGTTCGGAAGCCTGGAGGTTTCTCATTATATTTTATACTTATTTAAATTCCTAGTTTAAGCACCTCATTTAAGGAAAAGGCAGCAAGGAACCTGGCGACACTCTTTAAGAATTGTGAAAATAGAGCGAAACCAGGGAGCCTGGAAATTATTTTCGGGAATTGTGTGGCGAATGAACGTAAGCTGTTCCCACCACCACTTCGCTTTGGTTTCTGTGTCTCCTTTTAAAGTTGCTGAGACGATCGGACTGGCCAGCCCGGGCTCTATCTGTCCCTCACGGGGGAGAAATTCATGAGGCCTACCTGCCTACCTGCCTGGCGGGCCTAATTAAAAACTCACTATGGTCGCCTCAAATGGATTCAAAACTCCCGCCGCCTAGCAACGACACACCGCACTCGGAAGTACGTCATCCGGACTCCGGAGCGAGACTTTTTCTTCTTCCGGAAATGACTCGCGAGTGAGCCCTCCTGCCCATGCCGTACAACAAGATGGCGAACCCCACATCTTAGATGGTTCTCTTGTACGGAAACGGGGCGGCTCGCTTTGTTTATCTTTCCCCAGAGCTCCTCTAAGAAACGACCCAATTTCCGGCTTGAGGATGGCGGCGGCGGTGCGGCGCTCTTTGGTGCAATACGTGGTGCTGAGGGGCGACTTGTTACGCGAGCCTTTCTCGTGGCCGTTGGGAGCCTCGGTGGCTCAGGCCTGCCACGCGGCCTTGGCCGTGGTCCACGCGTACTACGAGCATCCAGACACCGCGGATTATCTAGCCCAGGATGGCAGCATGAGGACCGTGGTGCTGGAGGTGAGCATTAACTAACAGTGCTTCTCGACCGTGGCAAATTGAAGATTCGGGTGGGTGGGGACTTCAACTCCCAGAATTCCCCAGCCAGCAAAGCTGGCTGGGGAATTCTGGGAATTGGAGTCCCCCCATCTTCAACTTGTCAAGCTTGAAGGAACACCAACCTAGCTGACAGGACGACTCCCTTTGGGTGGGCTTTGCTGATTGACAGGCACAGAGAACTGGGGTCTTTGGATAGGCGCTTCATTAAGAGCGCAGACAGAACCTTCAAATCCACAGACCAGCCTTGCAAAACTGGTGGTATGGATGCTACTGCATTAAACTGCGAATAAGAAACCTGCTGTTTAAAAGGTTTCACGTGCGTGATCCTGGTTTCTGCGAACGAACTTTTCGCCAAACCGATGGTCCCTATATTTGTTATTGTTTTTTTTCCTCATTTTCAACCGGTTGGGTTGAAACGTTACTCTTGAAAGTGCCATGAAGATGCAGAGACATCTGCAATTTCTTCCCAATTACAGCGTGCATCACAGCACAATATTAAGACATAGAAGTCAAAGTATGGATTGGGTCTTCGTTGTAAGTGCATTTAGATTTGCAGTTGTTTCTGTTTTCGCAAGCCTAAACAGGTGCTTCTTTGGAGAACAATTACTGTACTGGAAAAGGGTTTTTGACCAGACTACTGATTTTTTTTTTCTAGAATGGGCTTTAACCATAAATGGGAGTAGCAAGAGCATAAATGGAAATGCAATCTGATTATTGAATAAATACATAGATTTCTGGCCATGATGTTCTTGTAATCTAATAGATCAGTTTGAAATTCAACATAATCATCCCCCACCCCCCATTTTCTGGGAAAAAAACCCCAAATCTTTGTGAATTAGGGGGTTCTAATTAGCATTCAGGAAATTGGGCATTTGGATCCAAGCCTTTGCATTGTAGCATTGATTATATCCAAGTGATGGAGGAAAGGAATGGACAGATAAAATCTGTGTGGTGCTACCTTTAATGCATATTCTGCTTCAAGAACTCCTGAGAGATATGTGTGTGTCTGTGTGTGTATAAAACACTTGTCACCAGTTGCTAATCCATTAAGATGCAGTGACACCTGTAATTTCTTCCCAATTACAGCCCATGCATCACAGCACAATATATAATTCAATAAATTTGTATGGACTGGATCTTTGTTGCAAGTACATTTAGATTTGCGGTTATTGTCATCTTTGATAATTATCTTCAAAACAGCAGTTTCTTAGAGTTTACTATAAAAAAGTACAGTTGGTGTTTTTTGCAGTTTTCAGTTAACCAGATAATTTTGTGGGTTGCTGGTCATTGTAGCTTTAGCAAGACAGAGGCTACAAATGAATACTATAGCAATACTTGATTCTATATTGCACTGAGATTGTTTTCTTTTTCTTCTTAGGCTCCAGATGAGTGTGCCTTGAGTACATTAGCAGAGAGACTGCAACAGAATGGCATTGATCATAAAGTCTGGATAGAACAACCAGAAAACATAGCTACTTGCATTGCCCTCCGTCCCTACCAGAAGGAGCACGTACATCATCATCTAAAGAATTTCAAACTGTTGAAATGATCTTTTTCCTCTGCAGCCTTGAACATAGTTGGTTTTTTTTCACAGGTTCTCTTTGCAATATACTAGGACCATCGTGAGATGCAAGAATTTACTTCAGAGTATTTCATAAATGTACTAAAAATAATGGATTCATATTAGGAGGCAAGGCATCCCATGGTATGGCATAAGATAACTTTCTCAATTTAAGGTGAAAGTTTGGATGCCTTAATATTATTAGGAGGGGATTCAGGGTATTAAACCACCCAGAGTTGCTTTATTGGTGAGATGGTTGGCATATAAATTTAATAAATAATTGTTCCTCGGATTTCATTGCTTATTCAGATATATTTATATTAGGAAATAATATTTGGGGTAGCAAAATATTCTAGTTTCTTTTATCTGCACTAATAATATAGTGGTAGTTCATAGATGCAGAAAGAACCCTTCTGAGCTTTTAGAAACCTTTTGACAAAATCTCACTAAAACATCAAATTCATGAATAAAGATGGGTCCTCTTATGAACACTCTGTTACATGTGTTAAAAAATAGCTTCAATAATTTTGAGATCTGCATTTTTAAATTTATTTACAAATATAGTTAGGGAGCCGCAATAACATCAGGATGATAGAAATGAATTTCAAAGCGCTCCAAAGAGACATCTCATAGGTGAATGTGAACAGAATGTTAAGTATGATTCAATTTAGTAAGGTATGATACTGTAGAAGTGTGCTATGCACTACAGGTGAGCAATGGGATATCCAGAATAAGCAGAAGAAAGAATTCCTTTGCCTGAAATATAGTAAAAGCATGGAATTTTTGTCTTCAACTTCAATCTAATTTTGAAAAGGAATTAGACAAACTCATGGAGACTCTTACTATGTTTGCATGATATATTTGCTTGTAATTTAATCATAACTGAATCAATTGAATCAATTTGGTATATTTGCATTGGCCCATAAAACCAGATCTGTTCATTCAGTACACTAGGCTAAAATGTCATTGGGACCATTCATTATTCAATCCATTATATAAATGCAGTCAGTGGCCTCTGTCCATAAAGTTTTTTGCTGTTGCCAGTATCAGTAGTGACATAATTTGTAAATACCATTGCTGGGAAGCAATAGGAAAAAAGATCTGTTATCCTCTAAGCCAGTGATGGCTAACCTTTTCAGCTTGGTGTGTCGAAAATCGGGAAAAAGTGTAGCCTTCCTCGGGTCGTGTGTCACTTCAAGAAATATCAATAATTTGGTAATATTGTGAGCAGTGTCTGGTTGTTGTGGTGCAGTCCTCCTGCGATGTTTATGACGGGCTGGGGTGATCACACAGGGCTGTGAAACTCGTCTCCCTGGTCTCAGGGCTGCAGGTGCAGGATGTGGGGATCGGAAGGCCACCTTACAGGGCTGTGAACCTCATGGATCTCCTTTCCTCCTGTAGCGTTCCTGAGGTAATGAAACTGACAAACCTCAGTTTATGGCGGTTAAAACTGGTTCTCTGCTGCAAAGATCTCGCGGCAGCGGTGACACCACGCCTCCACACAACAAGCAGGGAGCAGGGATTGGAGCAGAGCACAGGCAGCCTCTAAATGTGCAGGTTTTCCCCACACCAACAGGCGTGTCAGTCAAAGTGCCTCGGCGTGTCACGAGTGACACGCATGTCATAGGTTAGCCATCACTGCTCTAAGCCTTTTAGTCTTCATTTTGATTGGTTATTATGGGAAGAATGCTCGTGGATTGGTAAATTTGCACTCTAATATTGCTCTTCTAGATCAGATAAGTCTGTTTAAATTAGGCTGGATTTTTACAACTCAATGAATTATAAACTAGTGAATTACATTTTAGCCTAATGTATGGGAAGCAGAAGGAGGTAGCAATAGCAATATCAGTCAGACTTCTATACCACTTCACAGTGCTTTTACAGCCCTCTCTAAGCAGTTTACAAAGTCAGCATATTGCCCCCAACAATCTGGGATCTCATTTTGGACCTCACCTCGGAAGGATAGAAGGCTAAGTCAACTTGAGCCTGGTGAGATTTGAACTGCCAAATTGCAGGTAGTCAGCAGAAGTAGCCTGCAGTATTGCATTCTAACCACTGCGCCACCATGGCTCTTAGGTATCTATCCTTTGTTCTCTAAAGCAGAAAAATATTTCTGCAAAGACTTTAAAGGCATGTAATCCATGTTAAAGTTATTTTGACTTTATACTGTATATCCCAAGTGAATGTATTGAATAATGCACTTTAAAGATTCCATATTGAAATCACAGTTTGTGTTGAAGTATCTTATTAGCCTCCTGGTGAAAAAAAGTATGGCTTTATTATGGCTGTGGTTTGGGGCTTCTTTCACAGCCACTCAGCAGTACCAGGATTGGCTAACCAATGGCTGAAAAACAGTTAATTAGATATAGGTGTAATTGGAATTGAATTAGTTAATTATCACTAACTGAAGTGATAACGGTTAGTTTCCAATTCTGTGATAATGTGAATAATAGAAGAGGCAATACATATCTCCAAAAGAGGAGATGGAATTACATTATATGTACACCTCTCCAGAATGCGTAAAACCAAGGATGAAAGCCTCCTGGAATACACGTGGGTCAATATAAAAATAAAAAAGAATGATGTCACAGGCCACCCAACTCAGAAGGAAAAAAATTGAAGAACTTTTTGCTACAGTTAATAAATGTGTGTAGGAAACTCATCAGGGTGAGTTTAACTATCCTGACATCAACTGGGAGACAAACTGCATCAGATGGGAGATCAAACAGGTTCCTGACCAACCTAGCTGACAACTTTGTCATCTCAAAGATACAGGAGAGAACTAGAAGAACCACCATACTGTACCTAATTCTTACTAACATAAATGACAGAATGGATTAAATTGCAGGAACATTGGGGGAGAGTGATCATGTCATATTAGAATTCAACATAATGCAGACACAAGCAAACCAGTGTCTTAAGAGTTGGGAAAGATTCCATGGATGAAAATGTTAAAGGGGGAAATAACTCAAAGCTTGGGAAACAGAAAAATATGATAAAAGTCCAATCCAGCACACTACCACTGAAAAATAAAAAAAAAACAAATTCAAGAAGAAACCAACACAGTTGCACAAAGAACTCTTTGATACACTGAAAGACAAAAATAAATAATGAAAAGAGGAACACATAACAAAGGTAAAATACCAGCATATAGCCTGAATCTGCAGAGATGAAGTCAGGAAAGCTAAGGCTCAGAATGAATTAAGACTTGCAACATGTATCTATATAAAAATGAATTTTCAACATATAAAAAATAAACACAATCCGTCCACTTATGGGAAAAAATGGCAAGGAAGTGACAGGCAGCAAGGATAAAAGAGAGCTGCTTAATTCTTTCTTTGCATCTGTCTGCAGGAAAAAATAGCCAAACCTACCAAAAATAGTACCTTAAAAGGCAGACTAGGAATATCAAATTAAAATATCTCTAGGCAAGAAAATGGTAAAAGAACACTTGTCCATTTAGATGAGTTCAAATCACTTGGCTTTTATGGATTGCGTTCCAGAGTTCTTAAAGAGCTGGTAGACATGATTATGGAATAATTGAACTATATATTTCAAAGATCCTGGAGAACTGGAAAAGCACTGATGTAGTGACAACAATTAACCAGTGGAACAGCTTGCCTTCAGAAGTTGTTTGTGCTCCATCGTTGGAGGCTTTTAAAAAGACACTGGACAGCCATTTGTCTGAAATGTTATATGGCCTGCTTGAGTGGAGGATTGGATGAGAAGACTTCCAAGGTTCCTTCCAACTTCTGTTATTCTGTTACGTTGGCCTGGTTGGAAACATAATTCTAAACAACAGGTCACCAAGGCCCAGTTAGTTATTAGCCTCTTTCAGTTGGCATGCATGAAAGTTTACTGAAAAATGTTAAGCCTTTTTCAATTTGCGTAACTGCAACATGGTCGGCATACAAATAAAATAATAATATAAATAAAATCGCTTGCGTCCTCCCAGTTACAAGTACCCACATATGTTTAATCAATCAGAATATAGTTGAAAGGGACCTTTGGAGGTATTCTGGTTCCACCCTCTGCTCAAACAGGAGACCTTCTTATCATTTCAAACAAGTAGCTGTCCATCTCTTAAAAACCTTCAGTGATGAAGCACCCACAACTTCTAAAGGCAAGCTGTTCCACTGGTTATTTTTTCTCCATTAGAAAATTTCTCCTTAATTCCAGGTTGCTTCTATCCTTGATTAGTTTCTTGTCTTGCTTTCTGGTGCTTAGGAAAATAAGTTAACCCTCTCTTCTTTGTGGCAGCCCCTCAAATACTGGAATACTGCTATTACGTCACCCTAGTCCTATTGAGACTAGCCTGCAACCGTTCTTCGTATTTTTTAGTCTCCAGTCTTTTAATCATCTTAGCTGCTCTTCTCTGCACTATTTCCAAAGTCTCAACATCTTTTTTGTAATGTAATGACCAAAAACAGGATGCAGTATTCCAGGTGTGTGGCCTTACTAAGGTTTTATAAAGCGGCACTAATACTTCATGTGATTTTGATTCTATGCTTCTGTTTATACAACCAAAGATTGTTGCTATTTTTTGAGGACCCCCCCCACCCGCCCCAGTCTTTCAATTTCTTGATATTCTGTTCAAGTACTAACTAGAGATCCAATCTTGCTTGGCGTTTTAAAGATCAGTCAAGATTTGGCTAAGTGCAGTGTACAGTGCTACATTATTGAGGCATGTTCAGTAGAATAAATGATTTCTTTCTTGATATTTCATCTTGATGCTGGTTGAGTTCTGTAAAACCAAACCCTTGCATGATTAGAGTGACAAAAGAGCATGCTGGATTTTGATATTTAGTTCAGGTCTGAGCAGTGAACATTCTCTCTTCTAGTTTTTATTTTTTTTTAAATCCATATGGGTAAAATGAAGAGAAAATCTGAACTTTAGAATGCCACGATCAAGGGCAGATCTCCACATCTTAGAGATACCTTGAACTGTTGTTAGTCACTTGCTGAGCAAGCTCTCTTTATTATTAGCCCCGTCTTCTCATGATCTGTGTCTCTTCCAGGCTGTCAAAAATGTAAGTTCACCCCCCCTTTTCTAAGCAATAATGCAACATCAGCCATTAGGTTTTGTCTCTTTGTGTTTTAAACTCTTGCAAATTCATTTAACAAAAGCTACACAATTTTATTTTCACACATCAACAAAATTTCAGAAAGAGAGAAAAGAAAGAAATCCCACACCCCTTCCAAAAGCAATGCTATTTAAGAGCAATCCCCAACTAAAAAGAGAAAGAAATAAATTTATACAAGAAGTCTGAGCTATTTACATTAAAAGGCCTGAGAGGGAAAAAGTATTAACTTGTCTCCCATTCCACAGAGAAGCGCCTTTTTTATTATAATCATAATCCATATTATTTTAAATAAGCTACCTTGGCTGTTAAACAGAATTAAAACAAGTGCTGACTGCTCAATTTGAATTTTTTTTTTTAAAAATCTACAATAGTGGCCAGAACTACAACTTGAACTTCTGCTGCATTTCCTCCATTTCATTTTTGACAAGAATTGTCTATGGCCCAGTGTCTCTCTTACAAATCCCATGGAAATGGGTGGGATGTACTTGGTGCATTGCTTTCGGAGCCACTTCCTCCTCTCCCTCTAAAAATAATTGCAATTATCCCCCAAATGGATTTACATGTTTTATTTTCAACAATTATATTAGTTTTCATAGGAACTCCCACTTGATTACAAAGACCTCTTTGTCACTAACGAGGCTGTCTATTTACCAGCATAAAACATGAAAAAAAAAACAGTGGGGCAAAATATTTATTATTATTAATATTAATATTATTAATATCATTTTT